GAAGGAAGGTTGGGCAATCCTACTTCCGTAGTGATACTGCCTTGGAAACCCAAGGAGGGGTCACTATGAGTCGGGTTTGACTCAACGGCACATAACAACAACAACATAGAGATAGTTATCTCCTTAAACTTATTACTATGGTGAGTTATACTAGTAGATTTAGTAAGATTGAATCTTTCAGCATTCTTGGTACAAACCTCACTTGGGCAGCCTGACTGTAAGGCTTAACCTCTATATTTTATCACCTCCCAGTTTAGTTTCAGAGATTTGACATGCTTACATGAGAGGGTAGTAAGTCTTACAAGTTACTATTTTTATTAATCGTGAAATGAGTGTTGTAAATGAGGAGTTTAGGAGAAGAAACTATTATAAGGAGAACAAGCTTTTTGCAAAAAGAGTACTTTTACCAGCTGTAATATCCTGGGCGTCAACCACACAGTAGCTATACTTGCTGTAGTTTATTTCTACTGGCTGTTTACCTTGACAAGACTCTTAGCCTTTGTATTATAACAGCATGATTAGTTGTGGTGGATTGATCATAAACTGAAGAAATGCTAGAACTCTCGAAGTGTGGGGCAAATACTATGTCTGAACAAATGAGCAGCATGCAATATGTTGTTGTTTGTTGTTATGTGCTGTTGAGTTGGATCCAACTCATAGCGACACCTCCTTGGGTGTCCGAGGCAGTATCACTGTGGAAGTAGGTTGCCCGACCTTCCTTCCGAGGAGTGGCTGGTGGGTTTGAATCGCCAACCTTCTGGTTAGCAGTCAAGTGCCTTAGGCACTATGGTACCAGAGCTCCTAGCATGCAATATAGAGCAGAGAAAATAGGAGTGTGATAAACTCACAGTTTTTTCCAAAGGATAGAGGGAATGCATATCCATCAGAGAGAAAATTTGGGACCACTTATTGTTCCACAGCCATATTTATGTAAAAGATTATTTAAGAATGATATCGTCAGATACAAATGTCTATCTCCATATAATTTAAGGAATGCAGGGATTGTGAAAGGTGTTTGCTTAATTTACTCAAATGAAATAATTGAATTATAAAACCAACCTCCTTTTTTGCAAGCTGTGACTTGGGTCCAAGAATGATGATAAGCTGTTCTTGCACATTTAGAAGCATATTTTGGAAAAAATGTGTTTGCACAATAGTTTAGCCTAACTAGTGAAAAATGTCTTCCTTGAGCATTATGCCTTTTTTTAGGAACTATCTGTATGGAATCAGATTAATGAATACAACTGAAAAGATGACCGTGGGACCTTAGGGGGCAGTGAGTTTATGTTAAAGAGGAAGGAACAACTCAGAAAAGGAGGTTAAGAATGGTTGTACAACTCAAAGAATGTAATCAGTGTCACTGAGTTGTACATGTAGAAACTGTTAAATTGGTACATGTTTTGCTGTGTACATTCCCAACAACAGCAAAATAAATTAAAAGTTAAAAAAATAGTTAAGAAAATAGTTTGACTAAGTTTACATTGCTGTTTGTGAGAACACATGCCAATTCAGTAATTTTATTGACTTTTTAATTTTGTGAATATAATTTGATTTATAGAATGTGGATTGATATTCCTAATGATTACCAAAAAGACATGTTGAAATGAGTTACTTGAAAAAAGGATTGTTACCAATACATTTCGTCTTTACATATGTCAGTGGAAAAAAAATTCTTAATTTTTGAATGAATTTAAATACATTAATAATATAATACCATCAGTTCTTCTTATTTGTGTTAGTTATGTTCTATAAAGCTCCTTGGAATACTGAAATCGTGTTGTACTTCAAGTAGGAATTTTTCTGTTGCTCTGCACATCTGTGAATGACTGGGAAGCATCAGAATATTTTTAGTGAATAGAATTTTCAAATATGGGATCCACATGAGAATCATCTGTATTTCATTTTAATTAACTTTATGTGTTAAATGTAATAATTTAAAAGTTGGCTTTTCTTATTTTACTTAGCATGTCACACCAGACAGCTATATTCCGTGCCTTGCTGACCTCTGCAAAGCATTATGGGAAGTTATGCTTAGCTATTACAGGACTATGGAATGGCATGAAAAGCATGACAATGAGGATACTACTTCAGCTTCTGGTAGGAAATTATTTTATTTTATTGTAAAAATTGAAATATAAAAATGCCACATACCTTGAGTAAGGAAAAGAAAAAGACTTAAGGATTTCATGGACTATAATGACCATAGATTAAATGTTCACTGAAAAGAGTGATTCACATACTGTAAAGGCCCCATTACTTTTAGAGATTAATTGTACTAAAGCCTTTTTTTTTTAAGTGGAAGATGGTACCAGTTTTCAGAACTATCATCCTATTGGTTTTAGGACTGAATTATTGGGAAAGCTCTGTTTTATTTATTTTAAAGATTTAGTTATAAACTAGGTAAAACAGTGATCCAAATTTACTGTAAAATTAATGCTAAGTGTTCACTAGTAAAAAATTAATTTGCTAGTGATCAAGTTATATTAATGAAACTAGATCTTAAAAATTAATGGTTACATTGGTATTTTTCTTCCTGAATATATGGTGAGACATCAAATTTCATAAAAAATGATGGTATTTTAAAAACACCATTTTGAATGGAAAATACAACTTTAAATGACTGCTGTAGTCAGCAAAATAATAATGCTCAAGTCTTTGAGAAATTATTTTATTAACTGGACATTTTATGTAAATTGCTTCATTTAGATAATATTGATTTCAAGTGATTATCCTTGAACAATACCTAAGATTAAATATTTAAAATACTTTTATAATAAATGATTTTATCAGCACTTTGCTTACTATAGGCAAAAATAAATTGTACTGCCCTTTTTTAAAATCACATACAATTAATTATAATTATTCAGTCAGATCTTTTAAGTAACTTTTAAATTCTGGAGTAATTGGTTTCTGTGGGTAGGTGGGTGGAGGGAACACCAAACTATTATTGTTTGATAAAGATCACATTTTGGTAGTTTAGAAGAAATAAGTTTATTCTTGTTTTGATTATAAGAAACTCACAAACATAGATAGTGAAAAATTAAGAGTGGAATATCCTCTTGAAGGATTTTCATCCTTTTAAAAATATATTTGGGGCGTGGAGGAGAGAGAAAGCAGGGGAGGAAATGGAAGAAGGAATGGGTTCTGAGCCAGGATTCCAGGCCAGATGGTTGGTTTGTACCCCACTCCTAGGTTCTCACCCCTGGACAACTACTGTCCTTTGTAATTCAGGGAGCATGGGCTTTGCAATCGAGAGACCTACCTTCAAGATGTGACTGCCATTTACCAAAAGTGAGAACTTGAAGGAGTTCCTTTATCTTTTTAGGCCTCTGTTTACTCCTTAAAACCAAAAATTAAACCCACTGTCGTCGAATCAATTCTGACTCTTGTGGTGCAGTGGTTAAAACATTTGGTTGTTAACCAAAAGACTGATGGTTTGAACCCACCAGCTACTACATGGGAGAAAGTTGAGGCAGTCAGCTTCTGTAAAGATTTACAGCCCTGGAAATCCTATGGGGCAGTTCTACTCTGTCACATAGGGTCACTATGAGGTTCCTTGAAACAATAAGGTAAAAAACAAAACAAACACATGGCTCAAGTATAACTCTCTTACAAATGCATAGCTTTTCCTTTATTGAGTTCTGTTGAATGTTGTCTTAAAGGCATAAGCCTTTCTCAGGTGACTGATACTCCACTTTCAAGTTAGCAAGGAACTCTGGTGGCACACTGTTTAAAGAATTAGGCTGCTAACCAAAAGGTCTTCTGTTTGAACCCACTAGTCGCTTCATGGGAGAAAGATGAGTCAGTCTGCTTCCATAAAGTTTTACAGCCTCAGAAACCCTATGGGACAGTTCTACTCTGTTCTAAGGGTCTCTGCATCAGAATTGACTAATGGCAGTGGGTTTGGTTTTTGGTTTCAGGTTAGCTTAGCTTCAGAATGTCCTGGTTAGCTGGGTGTAACTTTTCTCTGTCTTTACCATGTCATGGCTGTTTGTGTTATTAAGGAGAAAGTTATCTCTGACTGGTTAGCTGCCCATTCTGATTTTATATGGATTTATATGGGTTCTGAGCCAGGATTCCAGGCCAGATGTTTTTTATCCCACTCCTATGTTCTCACCTCTGGACAACTACTGTCCTTTGTGATTCAGGGAGCATGGGCTTTGCAATCAGAGACTGTTTTTAATTTGGAATTTTTAATTTTGAAATAGTTCCAAGATGCATAAGAAGTTGGAAATAATAGCAGAGTTTCCATGTACTCTATATGTAACATCTTACACAACCACTGAACAAGGTCAAAACCAATGAATTGATACTAATATAATGTTAGGAACTTAAATACAGATCTTATTTGGAGTTTACTAGTTTTTATTAAAAAAAAAATAGTAAAATCCAGGTAAGGTCTGTATTTAGGTTCATAACAGTATATTAGTACCAATTCATTGGTTTTGACCTTCTCCAGTAGTTACGTAAGATGTTACATATAGAGTACATGGAAACTCTGCTATTATTTGCACTTATGTATGTGTGTGTAGTTCTGTGAAAGCTTTTCTCATGTATAGATTCATGTAACAATTAGCACCCAAGACTGTTGCATCATCACAAAGTAACACTCTTTTGTGTTACTCCTTAGTAGTCACACCCTTCCCCCAACCCTAACTCCTGGCAACCACTGATCCATCACTATAATTTTGTCACTTTGAGCATGTTATGTAACTGGAATCATACTGTGCATGGAACCTTTGGGGTTGGGTTTTTTTCACTCAGAATAATGCCTTGAGGGGAAGACAAATTTGTCTGTCAGTTTGTTGTACTGTTGTGGCTTGCGTGTTGCTGTGAGGCTTGAGGATGTGCCACTGATGTTTCAAACGCCAGCAGGGTTGCACATAGTGCACAGGTTTCAACGCAGTTTACAGACTGAGACAGAGTAGGAGGAAGAAAGAGGCCATCCACTGTTCAAAGAATTGGCCAGGGAAAACTTTATAAATAGCAGAGAAACACTTTACGAATAGCCCAGAAACATTGTCTGATACAATGCAGGAAAACAAGCCCCTTAGGTCGGAAGGCACTCAAAATACGACTGGGGAATAGCTGTGTCCTCAGAGTAGAACCAACCTTAATGATATGGATAAAGTAAAGCTTTTGAGACCTCCACTTGTTGACATGGTACGACTCAGCTTGAGGAGAAACAGCTGTAAATGTCTGTAAATAATCAGAACATGGAATGTACAGAGTATGAATTTAGGAAAATTGGAAGTTGTCAAAAATGAAATAGAATGCACGAAGATTGATATCCTAGGCATTAGTGAGCTGAACTGGACCAGTTTTGGCCATTTTGAATCAGACAAACATATGATCTACTATGCTGGGAATGACAATTTGAAAAGGAATGACGTGGCATTCATCATCACAAAGGATGTTTCAATATCTGTCCTGAAGTACAGTAGTATAAGTGATAGGATAATACCCATATGCCTACAAGGAAGACCAGTTAATACTACTACTATTCAAGTTTATGCACCAGCCACCAAGCCAAAGATGAGGAAATTGAAGATTTTTATCAACTTCTGCAGTCTGAAATAGACCGAACATGCAATCAGGATGTATTAATTATCATTGGTGACTGGGATACAAAAGTTGGAAATGAAAAATCACCAGTAGTTAGAAAATTTGGTCTTGGTGACAGAAATAATATGGAGATTGCATGATAGAATTTTGCAAGACCAGCTCCTTATTCATCGCAAATACCTTTTTCAACAACACAAACGATGGCTATACACATGGACCTCGCCAAATGGGGTACTTAGGAATCAGATTGACTACATCTGTGGCAAGAGGCGATGGAGAAGCTCAGTATCTTTAGCCAAAACAAGGCAGGAGCTGATTGTGGAACAGACCATCAACTGCTCATATCTAAGTTCAACTTGAAGGTGAAGATAATTAAAACAAGTCCATGAGAGCCAAAATATGACCTTAAATATAACCTTCCTGAATTTAGAGATCATCTAAAGAATAGATTTGATGCACTGAACACCAGTGACTGAAAACCAGAAGAATTGTGGGATGACATTAAGAACATCATCATGAAGAAAGCAAGAGGTCATTAAAAAGACAAGAAAGAAAGAAAATGGATGTCAGAAGAGACTCTGAAACTTGCCCTTGAGCAGAGAGTAGTACCTAAGGCAAATGGAAGAAATGACAAGATAAAAGAGCTGAACAGAAGATTTCAAAGAGCAGCTTGAGCAAACAGAGCCAATTAGTATAATGAAATGTGTGAAGACCTGGAGTTATAAAACCAAAAGGGAAGAACAGACTAGGCATTTCTCAAGCTGAAAGAACTGAGGAAAACATTTAAGCTTCGAGTTGCAATATTGAAAGAGTCTATGGGCAAAATACTGAATGATGCAGGAAGCATCAAAAAAAGATGGAGGGAATACACAGAGTCACTGTACCAAAAATAACTGGTCGTTTTTCATCCATTTCAGGAGGTGGATATGATCAAGAACCAATGGTATTGAAAGAAGAAGTTGAAGCTACCCTGAAGGAATTGTCAAAAAACAAGGCTCCAGCAATTGATGGGATACCTGTTGAGATGTTTCAACAGATACTGCACTGGATGCACTCACTCATCTATGCCAAGCAATTTGGAAGACAGCTATCTGGTCAACTGACTGTAAGAGATCCATATTTGTTCCCATTCCAAAGAAAGACGATCCTACAAAATGTGGAAATTATCAAACAACATCATTAATATAACATGCAAGTAAAATCTTGCTGAAAATAATTCAAAAATGGTTGTAGCAGTATATTGACAGAGAACTTCCAGAAATGCAAGCTGGATTCAGAAGAGGACGTAGAACGAGGGATATCATTGCTGATGTCAGGTGGATCTTGGCTGAAAGCAAAGGATACCAGAAAGATGTTTACTTATGTTTTATTTATCGACTATGCAAAATATTCTGTTGTATGGCTCATAACAAATTGTGGGTAACATTGAGAAAAATAGGAATTCCAGAACACTTAATTGCACTCATGAGGAACCTGTACATAGACAAGGAGGCTATTGTTTGAGCAGAACAAGGGGACACACTGCATGGTTTAAAATCAAGAAAGGAGTTTATCAGGGTTGTATTCTTTCACCATATGTATCTTTTCACCATACATATTCAATCTATATGCTGAGCAAATAATCTAAGAAGCTGGACTATATGAAGAAGAATGTGGCATCAGGATTGGAGGAAGAATCACTAACAACCTGCTCACAACACAACTTTGCTTGCTGAAAGTGAGGATGACTTGAAGCACTTACTGATGAAGATTGAAGAATATAGTCTGCAGTATGGATTAGATCTCAATATAAAGAAAACAAAAATCCTCACAACTGGACCTATAAGCAGCTTCATGATAAATGGAGAAAAGATTGTAGTAATCAAAGACTTCACATTACTTGATTCTACAATTGACACTAATGGAAGCAGCAGTCAGGACATCAGATGACATATAAAACCAAACCAAACCCATTGCTGTAGAGTCGTATCTGACCCATAACGACCCCTCTTTGGGTTTCTGAGGCAGTATCACTATAGAAGTAGGTTGTACAACCTTCATTCCGAGAAGTGGCCTTCTGGTTAGTAGTCAAATACCTGAGGCACTATGCCACCAGAGCTCCCAGATGACGCACTGGGCAAAATGTCTGCAAAGGACCTCTTACAAGTGCTGAAGATGTCTCCTTGAGGACTAAGGTGCGCCTGACACAACACATGGTATTTTCAGTTGTCACATATGCATATGAGAGCTGGGCAATGAATAAGGAAGACTGAAGAAGAGTTGATACTTTTGAGATGTGGTGCTGGTGAAGAATGCTGAAAGTACCATGGACTACTAAAAGAACTAACAAATCTGTCCTGTAGGAAGTGCAGCCAGATTGCTCCTTGGAAGCGAGAATGGCCAGACTTCATCTCACCTACTCTGGTCATGTTATCAGAAGGGACCATTCTCTGGAGATGGATGTCATGCTTGGTATGGTGGAGGGTTGAGGAAAGAGGGGAAGGCCCTTGCGAGATGGATTGACACAGTGGCTGCGGCAGTTGGCTCAAGTATAGCAAGGATCGTGGAGCTGGCGTGGGACTGGGCAGTGTTTTGTTGTGCTATGTATGCATAAGGTCACTATGAGTTGGAGACGACCTGACCTTACCTAACAACAACAGTGCCTTGAGATCCATCCTAGTTGTTTGGTATATCAGTAGTTATTTTCGTTGCTGAGTTGTGCTCCATGGTTCCATGATATAATATACTTTGTTTAACCATTCACCCATTGAAGGGCATTTGGGTTGTTTTCAGTTTTGGGCTGTTATAAATAAAAATATTATGAACCATTCATATACAGATTCTTGTATGAATATAAGTTAATTTTTCTAGGGTGTGTGTCCATTCCTCTGGCTTAGAAATCCTCTTTTATACCACAGTAGAAGAGGAAGAAAACAAACTAAGCAAAAATTATAGATGAGCCTTTGCCACGTGCAGTAGAAAAGACCTTGTGTCTCTTCTTCACATTCATTATTTGTTGTGATGAATTAACATTCTTTCATTTTTTTTCCTTCTGACAGAAATCACTTTTTCCATGTGGTTGATATTTTTAGAAGTTATTTGTGGCTTTTGGAAGCATACTCACCTTAGAAATCTGTAGGTTTAAACCAGCTTTGGTTCACAAACATTAGATACGTAGTTTGAAGCTACTAAAGCCAACATTGTATTAGAACGTATCTTTCAGAGAACTTTGCAGTGAATTTTAAACTAGCTTTATTATACTTAGTCATTAGGTAATTTCTGTCTAAATATATAATACCATTTTAGTATTGATTTATAAATTTTGTTTCATATAATGCTAGTAAAACTAATAAAATTATTCCCTTTTTTCAGAAAATGTAACCTACATATCACTGTATATATACTGAACTTACTTTCTTTATTTTACATAGTTTCGCAATATGAGAGTCCAAACTAAAATTATTTGGAAAACAAAAGCATTTTTGAATAAACATAAAAACATGTAACACCTTTTATTTTCAGAAGGAAACAATATGATGGGTACTGAAGAAACTAATTTTGACCGTGGCTACGTGAAAAAGAAATTAGAACATGGACTTACACGAATATGGCAGGTTTGGTTTTCTTTTTAAATTATTCCTTCCAAAAACAATAGAAATCCTCATATCAAAGTTTTTTTAGAAATTCAGTTTTCAAATTTTCTTTTTATTCTTTGTATGTTTAATCCTATGTTAGTTCTTGTTTGGTAAGAGTATATCATATAGTTTAATGTTTGTAATGCTGCTGACAATTATATTTTATTTTAAGTGCTAGTTGAAAGTCTTAATCTGAAAATCTCATTTGGAATTACCCACATATTTCTGGATTACATTTTTGCCTTTACTGTGTTAGCAAATATATGCTTTCTTGACCAAATTGCTTTCTTATTGAGTGTTCTGATTATTTCTATTTCATTTATTTGTATTTTCTTAATTTCTTTTTCTTTTAATTTTAAGAAAGGGATCACTAAACAGTGGACATGCTTGGGTCAGATTCCAATACAGAATGAAGAAATAAGCTTCATTTTGTGTGTGTGTGTTGTCACCACCAATCCTTTATTAAAACTGTAACTTGCACATTATATAATAGAACAACAAAAATAATGTTCAATATACACAGTCTTTGCATGGACTGTTTGACTATACACAAGGCATAGTGATAATACAATCTAATATTCATAACAATTTGTGCACAGAAAGACACCAAACAGGCAACATGTGAACATTACAAGTGAAATGACATCACAAGTCCAGTGAAAATTCGGCGTAACACAAAACATATTCATCTATTACAAATGATATCTTCCTAAACAGCCAGATATCATTCAGTGGTAGGTTACCCAAAGTCTGAAGCAGAGATCTGTTGTATAGTTATAAGTGTCTTAAGTGAGGCAACCTCTGCAGATAAGTACAAAAGTGCTTTGAGAGAATCTTGCATAATTACTGGAAAAATATGTTTTCCTAAGCTTTTTTTCTTTGTACTTTAGTAACTCAATTATTATTTTTAGATAGTTAAATTTATTTTGTTACTTCCTAAGTCATTTTGAAAGTAACTCATTTTTGGTTCTTTTTGGACTTTGAAACTTAGAAAGCTGTAAATCCTCTGACCATGCTGTTTTTTAAAGTATGTTTTTGCTTTTTCTAAAGAAGCTGATTTTTAATTTGACAGTTTATTAATAAGGTTTTTTTGGAAAAAAAATTGTAAAAAAATATATCCTGAAAACATAAATTACATCAAGAATCATTTAGGCATTTGAATAGCCTTATATTCGATATGACATGTGAGTTTATACTTTAAAGTATTTTTGTAATAGTTATAAGACCGTCAACTTCTATTTTCTGATTTGACTATATTAAAGTAATTTTAAATTTATTACTAATGTGGTTTGAGTTTTTTTCTGATTATTATGTATTAAAAAATCCAAAAGTATTACATATTAAAAAATTCTAAATCCAAAAATCCAAAAATTCACTTGTGACTCTTAGCGACCCTATAGGGCAGACTAGAACTACCCTCCCTGTAGGGTTTCCAAGGCTGTAAATCTTTATGGAAGCAGACTGCCTCATCTTTTTCCTGCAGAGCAGCTGGAGGGTTCAAACTGCGTGGTAGGTTCAAGCCGCCGTCCTTTCGGTTAGCAGCCTAATGGGTTAACTACTGTGCCTGCCACCAGAGCTCCATTACTATGCACAAAGAAAAGAGAAATTCCATACTCAACGAATATACATCCATGGTCAGATATGAGCTGTTGATGGTTTGATCTTCTACCCATTGGTGTTGAGTTGATTCCAACTCATGGTGACCCTATAGGACTGAGTGGGGAACTTCCTCAAAGAGTTGCCAAATTGTAGAATCTATCGTTAAGTTTCTGGTAATTCAAAATACTTTGAATTATTGACCACGCATTTTATATAGTTAGTTCCCATTCAGTCTATCAACTTCATGGCATTCCTGGCATAGGAAAATGTTTATTATGTTTAGTAAAAATATTCTCAGGTAAGCAGGTAGTTATTTTAATTGAGGCCATCCCCCAACACCAGTTCCAAAACTGTATTTTGCATACTAGGAATTCATTGAGTGCTTGTTAAATTGAAATTACAAGGCTCATCTGCAATTCATAAGAGTAAAAGCTCTGAAAAACAAATGTTTTTTGATAATGCATTTAGCAGGCAAAACCTGATCTGAATTAAATTCATATGGCAGCAAAATCTGATCAGTATTATCATTTGTTGTTGTTGTTGTTGTTGTTGTTGTTTGCCGTCGAGTCGGCCCCGACTCATAGCGACCCCTCCTTGGGTTTCCGAGGCAGTATCACTATGGAAGTAGATTGCCCAACCTTCCTTCCGAGGAGTGGCTGGTGGATTTGAACCACCAGCCTTCTGGTGAGCAGTCAAGTGCCTTAGGCACTATGCTACCAGAGCTCCTATACACTATTTATTTATCCTGCCTAAAGTGAACATTCTTACGTTGCAAAAATACTGTGTTTGATTTTGGGATACTTCCCCAGAACCCACTGAGGGTGTTACATATTACATACTATCCCTAACATACTGCCTTTCTAATACCTGAAATCCAAAATTTTGAAACACATTTGACTCAGGGTACATTTATATAAAGCAGTAAACAAAGTAAGAACTGGAATAATGGCAAAAAATGTACCTGTAATAAAGTAGGGTTGATTAAGTTAGATGGAAATTATACCAAGTGGAAGCCTGGATCTACTTGAAGAAACGAAGAGCACCCACCGAAAAGTATAAACATTTGGGTAAATATATAAGTTCTTTTGTTTGTTTTTGCAAATTTATAGAAAAATTACATGGATAGTATGAAAAACGCCCATATTGCTTTCATTGAGAGATTCATTGAAATTTCTTCAGCAGTCTCAGAAATGTTCTTTATGTTTATAGCAAAAGGATCCAATCTAGGCTCAATTATTGAATTTAATTGTCATGTCCTTTCCATCCCCTGTTGTCTAGAAACTTTCCTCAGGTCTTCCTTGACTTTCATTACTTTGATAATTCTGTAGATTACAGTCTACTTATTTTGTAGAATGTCCATCAGTTTGAATTTGTCTGATCTATTCTTATGATTAATTTTATATCATATGTTTTTGAAATGAATATTAGCAAGGATGCTGTGTTCTTTTCTTCCTATTGTGTGGTAATGTTTTCAGTTTGTCCCGTCAGTAGTGATGTTATCTTTGATTACTTGAATATAGTACCTTTACTCTAAAGTTACTCTTTTGCCTTTTTGTAATGAATAAGTATTTTATGAAAGTATATATCCCCACCAATACTTTAGTGTAGTGCCTAAAGCATTTGACTACTAACCAGAAGGCTGGGGTTCAAAACCACCAGCCACTCCTCAGAAGGAAGGTTGGGTAATCTACTTCTGCAGTGATACCACTTCAGAAACCCAAGGGGAGGCGTCACTATGAGTCGGATCTGACTCCACGGCAGTGAGTTTAGTTTTTTTTTTTTTCTTTTTCCTTAGTTTGGTTAGTTTTAGCCTATACTGATATTTTTTACTTGAATTATTTTTTACTGTCATGATTGCCAATATTTTACTATGATATTTTCTAATTCTCATTCCTTCAATATTTATTGACATTCTACTTTCACTTACTGGTTTTACCATCTTTTGATGTTTCTTGATTGAATTCTTTTTTATTTCATTATTTCCAAATCATGATTTTTCTTACTGTTATTCCTTCAACATTTATTAGTTGGAATTCTATTCTAGGGAAGCACCTTTTATTCTCTCCCTTTATGTATTCATTATTTATGTTAGTTTGGATTTTTTGTACATGAGGATATGTTTGTGTGTACTATATTGTCCATTATATAATTTGTTTCTATCATAATTTATTTTAATATGCACAGTGTCCCAGATTTGGTCATTTGGAGCCCTCTTCAAACTAGGTTTTGTGTCCTGCTGACATTTTCCTTCATTCTTTGAGGACTTCTTTACTTCCTCACACAATAGGATGTTCTATCTTCATCTTGTACCTTCTATGCCAGCTCTGGCTCCTTTTATTAATGAATTGTATTTAGAAACCAAGATCTGGACTTTAGTTAAAAAACCAAACTCACTGCCATCGACTCATATCCAACTCATAGCGACCCCCATTAGATTTCCAAGGCTGTAAATCTTTACAGAAGTAGATTGCCCCGTCTTCCTTCTGTGGAACAGCTAATGGGTTTGAATTGCTGACCTTCTGGTTAGTAGTCAAGTGCCTTATCCAATGCGGCATCAGAGCTCCTTGGACTTTAGTTAGATATTGTCATTAATACTGGGAGTCACTGGTTTCAGGCCCTTCCAGTGGACAGAAGTAGGAAATATGTGTATGTATACAGGCACACACACTCACACACACCTTGACTGATGGATTTTTCCATTAGATTGTAAATCCTATGAGTACATGGATAGGGATTCATCTTAATTCAGTCTTAGAGGTTAGCATAATCTTTGCATATGGGAGTGCTTAGGGAAGGGTCATTTAAGCATTTATTAGTTTACATGCCTGTGATACTATAATCTTTAATGAAATAAAATGCCATGTCAATCTTAAAAATAAAAAAATTGCATCTTTGCATTTAAAGTGAATGTGTGACAAATTTTAGACATTTATTAACTGAATTTATTAATTAGTTATAGATACAAATGATGATAAATGATGACTGAAAAGCATATAGAGATATTTAACCTTTCTGGCATAATTACTTTGATTTTTGATGGGAAGAATTTTTAGAATAGTGTGGCAATTTTCCATTGATTTTGACTCAAACAGAATCTTTAAGGAGAAAGTCTTTAGTTTTGAAACAAGATATTTATGTTCAAGGTTCCAGGGCTATTATTTTTTTAATCATAGCTTTAAGCAGTTTGAGAAAATGGTTAATTGTGAATCCTCTGTGAATATTAAATTCTTTTGAAATCAAAGAATACTTGTTTTTATTTGCTATAAATGATATCTCCCTCTTCACTGTCAGTTTGTTGTACTGTGGTAGCTTGTATGTTGCTGTGAGGCTGGAGGCTATGCCACCAGTATTTCCAATACCAGCGGGGTCACCCATGGTAGGCAGGTTTCAACGGAGCTTCCAGACTAAGACAAACTAGGAAGAAGGAGGGAACCATCCATTTCTCAAAGATTTGGCCAGTGAAAACCTTATGAATATCAGTGAAACACTGTCTGATGTATTATTGGAAAACTTTATGTATAGCCCTGAAACATTGTCTGATATAGTGCCAGAAGATGAGCCTCTCAGGTCAGAAGGCACTCAAAATACAAATGGGGAAGAGCTACCTCCTCAGAGTAGAGTCAGCCTTAATGGTATGGATGGAGTAAAGCTTTTTGACCACCATTTGCTGATGTGGCATGACTCAAAATGGGGAGAAACAGCTGAAAACATCTATTAGTAGTTGGAGGATGGAATGTACAAAGTAGGAATCTAGGAAAATTGGAAGTTGTCAAAAATGAAATGTAAAGCATAAAGATAGATATCTGAGGCATTAGTGAGGTAAAATGGACAGGTTTTGGCCATTTTGAATCAGACAACCATATGATCTACTATGCCAGGAATGATGAAGAGGAATGGTGAGGCATTCATTGTCACAAAGAATGTTTCAAGATCTATCCTGAAGTACAGTGCTGTCAGTGATAGGATAATATCCATTTGCCTACAAGGAAGACCAGTTAATACTACTATTTTCAAGTTTACACACCAACTACCAAAGCCAAAGATGAGGAAATTGAAGATTTTTACCAATTTCTACAGTCTGAAATTGATCAAACATGCAATCAAGAGGTGTTGATTATCACTGGTGACTGGAATGCAAAAGTTGAAGATAAAGAAGAATCACCAGTAGTTGGAAATTAGGGCCTTGGTGATAGAAATGACACTGGAGATCATGTGATAGAATTTTGCAAGACCAATGACTTATTCATTGCAAATACCTTTTTTCAACAACATCAACAGTGGCTATACACGTGGACTTTGCCAGATGGAGTACACAGGAATCAGATCGACTACATCTGTGGCAAGAGGTGATGGAGAAGCTCAATATCTTCAACCAAAACAAGCCCAGGAGCTGACTGTGGAGCAGATCATAAGTTGCTTGTACGCAAGTTCAGGTTGAAGCTGAAGACAATTAAAACAAGTCTGCAAGACCTAAAATATGATCTTGAATATATCCCTCCTGAATTTAGAGACCATCTAAAGAATAGATTTGATGCATTGAACACCAATGACCAGAAGCCAGAGGAATTATGGGATAACATCAAGAGCATCATCCATTAAGAAAGCAAAATGTCGCTGAAAAGACATGAAAGGGGAAAAAAAAAAGACCAAATGGATGTCAAAAGATTTCAAAGAGCAGCTTTGGAAGACACAGTCAGTTATTATAATGAAATGTGCCAAGACTTGGAGTTAGAAAACCAAAAGAGAAGAACTTGCTCAGCATTTCTCAAGCTAAGAGAACCGGAGGAAAAATTCAAGACTCGAGGTGCAATATTGAAAGAGTCTATGGGCAAAATATTGAATGATGCAGAACACACACATCAAAAGAAGGTGGAAGGAATATACAGAGTCACTGTACCAAAAATAATTGGTCAATGTTCATCCATTTCAAGAGGTGCCATATGATCAAGAACCAATGGTATTGAAGGAAGAAGTCAGAGCTACCCTGAAGAACTTGTAGGAAAACAAGGCTCCAGCAATTGACAGGATACCTGTTGAGATGTTTCAACAAACAGATACAGCATTTACTCATCTATGCCAAGAAATTTGGAAGACAGCTACCTGGCCAGCTCACTAGAAAAGATCCATGTTTGTAACTATTCCAAAGAAAGATGATCCTACAGAATATGGAAATTATCAAGCAATATCATAATATCACATGTAAGTAAAATCTTACTGAAGATAATTCAGAAATGGTTGCAAGAGTATATTGATAGATAACTTAGAGAAATGCAAGGTAGATTCAGAAGAGGATGTGAAAGTAGGGATATCATTGCTGCTGTCTGATGAAGTTTGGCTGAAAGCACAGAATACCAGAAGGATGTTTTCTTGACTATGCAAAAGCATTCGATTGTGTGGATCATAACAAATTATGGATAATTTTGAGAAGAAAGAGAATTCCAGAACACTTAATTATGCTCATGAGGAACTGTACATAGACTAGGAAGCGGTGGTTCTTACAGAACTAGGTTATACTGTATGGTTTAAAATCAGGAAGGGAATGTGTCAGGGTTATATCCTTATTCAATCTATATGCTGAGCAAATAATCCAAGAAGCTGGACTATATGAAGTAGTGTGTTGCATCAGGATTGGAGGAAGACTCATTAACAATATGTGATATGCAGATGGCACCACTTTGCTTGCTGAAAGTGAAGATGACTTGAAGCCCTTTCTGATGGAGATTAAAGACTGCAGTCTGCAGTATGGATTATACCTCAACATAAAGAAAATGAAAATCTTCGCAACTGGATCAATAAATAGCATCACAATAAATGGAGAAAAGATTGAAGTATTGAAGTCAAAGATTTCGTATTACTTGGTTCCATGATCCACACCAATGGAAGCAGCAATCAGAAAGTTAGATGATGTATTGCACTGAGCAAATCTGCTGCAAAAGACCTCTTTAAAGTGCTGAAGAGCAAAGATGTCTCTTTGAAGACTAAGATGTGCCTTACCCAACTCATGGTATTTTCAGTCGCCACATGTGCATATGAAAGCTGGACAAGGAATTAGGAAGACTGAAGTAGAATAGATGCTTTTGAATTGTGATGTTGATGAAGAGTACTGAAAGTTCCATAGACTGCCAGAAGAACTAACAAATCTGTCCTGGAAGAAGTGCAGCAGGAATGCTCCTTGTAAGCAAGAATGGCCAGACTTTGTCTCACCTACTTTGGTCATGTTGTCAGAAAGGACCATTCCTTGGAGAAGGATATCGTGTTTGGTAAAGTGAAGGGTCAAAAAGAAAGGGGAAGACCAACGAGGTGGATTGACACAGTGGCTACAATGATGGGCTCAGGTATAGCAAGGATTGTGAAACTGGCACAGGACCAGGCAGTGTTTCGTTCTCTTGTACGTGGGGTAGCTGTGAGTCAGAGCCAACTCGAAGACACCTAACAACAACAACATATATGATACATGAGTATTTTAAGTATAGGGAATAGTATAAAGAGGAAAATACAAATGAACTATCATTTCTAACATGCATAAATAACCTTTATTAACACTTCGGTGTGTTTTTCTGTTTTTTTCCTATGCTTTCTTTCAAATACAGCTGCAATAATATATTTTTGGTTGTTGTTGTTTATTATGGTTTTAACTCAGTATTGTATAATTTTACTTGCCGGTGAAATTTGTTTATATATAGAATTTTTAATTGAGGTGAAAGTTCTCACATAGCATTTTTGAAACAAGTTGGGTTATAAATGACCAAAAATGGAAAATAAAATCTCCATAATTTTCTATCTTATTTAAAACTTAAACTGAATAACCCATGAACCTATGGTCCTTGATGTAATGGAGCTTATACATCTAACCATATGAAAGTGCTGGTATCTTAAGATTTTTTCACCTTTAAAAAATTTGATATAGAATAAATGACATTTTAAAAATGCTTATTATTGATGGTTAATTTTGCTTTTTACTATGGAGAGTTTGAGTTGTGGTATCTCTTTTTAAATTTCAGATTTTTTTTCACACCATCACATGCTGCCCACTTTTAAAGATGTTTCTTGGGCATTTGACAAATAACCATGTAGTTCGTCTTTCTGTTGAGAATTAGATTTTATATGTATATTAAACTTGTTAATTGTATTATTCTAATCCTTATTTTTTTGGTCAGTTTTCTTGCTTCATAGAGTTGTGAAGTAGGAGTATTAATCTTCCAGAATGATTATGGTTTTGTTAGGTTTTTTATTTCTAAGAACTTTTGCTTGTTATATTTAGATGATATGATGATGGTGCTAAAATGTTAATGACCGCTTTACTTTCTTTGTACTTAATTCATTTATTAAAAAAAAAATTTGAAAATTGCCCTGAGGCATTTTGCCTTAAATTCTAGTTTCTCTGATATTATTACCTCTCCTGTGTTCATTTGTTCATATTTTCATAAATCTTTGAAAATATCCCTTTATTTTAAATATTTTTGGATTGTATTTTAGTTGTGTTTTTTACAAATAATAATAGCTAGGTTTTGACTTTATTTAGATAGACATTTCATCTTTTAATAGAAAAATTGAATTTATTATTTTTATTTAATTTTTTTATTTATACTTTGTTTATTATGAAAGGTCGAGATTTGGAATTTATCAGTTACTGCAGTTTGTTTTGTGAATTATTTGTTCATTATTTTACTCATTTGTCTTAGTGAATCTAAATAGTTCATGTGATCATGAATTCATCCTTTATATTTTTCTTTTTTTCACTTATTTTATTATGTTTTTCATGTACACATGATTATGATTTTTATGAGGTTAAGTTTATTGACTTTTGCCCTTTTGTGACTTCGTATATTCAGGTCTGGTGTTCTGCTTCCCAAAGGTCACAACCTTAGAAACCCTGTGGAGCATGGTTTTATTCTGACATACATCGAGTCACCATAAGCCAGAATGACTTGATGGCAACTAACAATAATATCATATCACCTTTAAGGATGTTTGCTATAGGCCTAATAGATATTTTCTCAAGTTAAGAATATATTCCTATCTCATTTCAATGTATAAACTGTAGAATAAACAGCTCTGAGAAATTGTTTTCTATGTTTGTGTTTACTTGAAGTTATCTTTTTGTCTAACAGGATGTTCAGCTGAAAGTAAAAACCTACTTGCTTGGAACTGACTTGTCCATATTCAAATATGATGATTTTATCTTTGTCTTGGACATAATCAGCAGGTAGTATTTGAGATGTTACTTGTCTTAATTCTTTAGTTTGATTCATTAAACCATGATAATAGAAGAAATCATGAGTCAATAAGTTATATATAACTTCTTCATGGAAAGGAAGAGATGTGTAGATTCATAATATAATTGCTACTAGGTGTGTGTGTGTATGTTTTCTTTAAATATTTGTAGAATTGAGTTGATGGCAGTCAGTTGTTTTTTTTCTTAATGTTTGTAAGCCATAATCAATTTGAGATGTTTGGAATTTCCTCAAGCACTGAAATTTCTTTGATTTGTTTTGAAAAAACTTTTTTTTTTAAATAAAGGAAATTGGACTTTATTTCTCTTTAAGGATGTTACTCACATTTACACATGCTTTTCTAAAATAAACTTTGTTGAACTAGGTTGATGCAAGTTGGAGAAGAATTTTGTGGTAGCAAGTCTGAAGTTTTGCAAGAGTCTATTAGAAAACAAAGTGTCAATTATTTCAAGAACTACCATAGGTAAGAACTATAATAAAATATGAATGAATTTATTTAGATGATAGGAATACTTTCGTTTAATGCTTAATTTTATAGGGTTAAGTACTTCAAGCAGTTACATCTAACTTTGAGTGAATATGCTCTTCGTGGCTCATTTTAAAAGGATAGTTAAGGAATTTCCTCAAAAATATAAAAGTTTCTCATTTTTTTTCATTGTTAAATTTAATATATCCTTTGTCTTTAAGGGCTTGGAATATTGAGCCGATTTTTTTTTTTTTTTTTTTTTGGTAGATGAAAGATGATTATCACATCAGAGGTCACAAAAAATTTGGCCAGTCTTTTATGCCTTCATGCATGCTCTGTGCTAGTAAGGAAGTTAAATCAGTAGAGATTGTATACACTAAGGGGATATTTGAAAGCATCTGACTTTTAGGTAGTAAAAGGTCTTCTAGAAAAGATATGTGATACTCAGAGTCTAGCTGTAAAGCCAAGGTTATGGACTAAATTGCTTTGTAAAAACAATTTAGCAATTTAAAAGAAGATTATATATATATATATATATCTTATACAGACATTAAACATATGATATTAGAGGATATGAACCACTTCATGCTAATAAATTTGATGATTTAGATGAAATGAATATATTTCTTATAAAACCAAACTTAATAAATTGACAAAATATAGAGAACCTGAATAGTTGTGTGTGTGTTGCAGAAATTGAATCTGTACTTAACATTTTCACAAACAAATTTCTAGGCCTGCTAGTGTCACTGGTAAATTCTACCAAACATTTAAGGAAGAAATAATACCAACCCAAACTTTTTGAGAGAGTAGATGAGGAGGAATGCTTTACAATTTATTTTATGAGGCCAGTGTAACACTGATACTAAAATGTAACAAAGACATTAAAATAAAGGAAACTTAAAAAGAAAGGAATTGTGGTATTGATAAAGAATATTGAATAAACCACAGACTGCAGGAAAAATGAACAAATCTGTCTTGGAAGAAATATAGCTAGCATGTTCCTTGGAAGCAAGGATGGCGAGATGCTGTCTTACGTACTTTGGACATGTTACCAGTCCCTAGACAAGGACATCATGCTTGGTGAATTAGAGGATCAACAAAAAAGAAGAAGACCCTCAATGAGATGGACTAGCACAGTGGCTACAACAGTGAGCTTAAACACACCAGTGATTAGGAGGATGACAAGACCAGGCAGTGTTTCGTTCTGTTATACATGGGGTTGCTGTGAGTTGGAACTGACTCTACGGCACCTAACAACTGCAACAGCAACATCTCATGAGAATATAGGTACAAAAATCCTAAACAAAATATTGTCCAATTAACTCCAGTAATAGCTAAAAATAATGATATATCATGAAGAGATATGGTTTATTGCAGAAGAGTATGGTTAGCTGAACATTAAAAAAAATAATTAATTTACCAATTAACAAAATACAGGAAAAATACCATAATGATCATGTTAGTAGATAAAGGAAAAAATGTTGATAAAAAATTTGACTCTGGTTCATGATTTTAAAATAATCATGTTTGTGTGTATTTATTTCCTTCCATCCTAATCATGGCCTTATATTTGAAGCATATCTCTTATAAACAGCAGGAAGAATCTTTGTTGTTTCTGTAGATTCACCTGGACACTTTCTGTTTTGATTGAACTGTTTTTTCCATTTATATTAAATGTATTTATTGTTGTAGTTGGGTTTAAACTTACTATATTGTTTGATTTTTAAAAGTCCTACATTTATCTATCTATCTATCTATCCATCCCTGGCCTCTTTTGGATTAATAAAGTTATTTTTATGTATTTTTCCCCTCTTCTCTTAGCTTTTTGTTTATATATTCTTGTAGTGGTTACCGTCACCATTTCAATGCTTTCCTGCTCTGTTATAGTCTACTTTAGATTATGTACTTCCAGAATAATGCATTAACTGCATTTACCTTTTCTCACCCTTTTTTTTTTTTGGCTGTTGTTGACATAAACTTTTACTTTATATGTTATTTTCTATATTTAGCAGCCAAATGCCTTAGGCACTATGCCACCGGAGCTCCCCTATTTTCTACATATTGGACTATATTTCTTTTTTTATGCTGAGGGTCGATTGAGCTTCTTCAGTCTGTGAGTTTCAATCTTTAATCACTGTATTAATTTTATATTACCAAGTAATAAATTACCATGAACTTAACAGCTTGAAACAATACCCATTTACTCTCTCATAGTTCTCCAGATCAGAAGTCTGAGTGGACTTGTCTAGGTTCTCAGCTTAGGGTCTCAGAAGGCCAAAATCAAGGTGTCAGGTGGACTGGGCTCTCAACTGAAGTCTCAGAGAACAAGTTTGCTAAGTGCTTTCAGATTGGTAGAATTCAGTTCCTTGTGGTTGTAGGACTAAAGGCCATGTTTGGTTACTGACTCTCAACTACGGACCCTTCTCACCTCTAGTAGCTGCTTTCTGGTCCTTGCTCATTCCCCTTTCCATCTTAAAAGGTAGTAATGGCACATCACATTTTCATCCTGCTTTGATTCTATTTGAATTCCTTTTCTGTGACCAGCAGGAGAAAACCTGTTCATGCAATTAGATGAGGACCGTCTGAATAATCTCTCTTTAGCTCTGGGAAATGTTGTAGAGGGCAGCATTTTAGAATCCTGCCTACCAGTGGTTTTTTTTTTAAATATATATAATAGCTTTGTTGAGGTGTAATCCACATGGCATAAAATTTCTCCTTTAAAGTATACAGTTCAACAACAGCCATCGCCACTGTCTAATTTTAGAGCATTTGCTTTCTGTCTCTTAGATTTGCCTTTCTGGGACATTTCATATAAATGGAATCATACAGTAGGTGGTCTTTTATGTAAAGCTTTTACTTAGTGTAATATTTTCAAGATTCATCCATGTCATAGCATGTTTCAGAACTTTATTCCTTTTTATGACTACACAGTCTTTCATCATATAGATATGCCACATATTGTTTATCCATTTGATGGATATTTGCATTGTTTTTGCATTTCAACTATCAAATTTTAATTTGAGATACTATATTTTTAAGTTCTAGAATGGCTATTTAATTCTTCTTTTGTTGTTTTTATAGTTATGTTTCTCTTTGAAATTCTTCCTCCATCCTTTTCTGTATACTTTTTCTTTCTATAATTTATATTGAATAATTGCTTTAGAGTCTTTGTCTGTTGGTGCCAGTATGTGAAGCAATTCTTGCTTTTCACAGATTCATCCATTTATTGCCTCTTTAATTTAGAATCTCTGAATTTAAAAACGATCTAGGTTTTTGTTTTGCCATGCATATGAGAGCCATAGCTGTTAATTTAATTCATAAATGCTGTATATAGATAGGCACTGAGCTAAATTTCTTCTGAGAGTGGTAATCATATGATGATTATAGCTTAGAAAGTATAGTTAAGATTTGTGCTGTTTAGTAGAAGCTATTTATGATCGCATAATTTGTAAATTTTATTTTTTGGCAATGATACATAATTAGCTAAGGATATTTAAAATATATGTATTAATGTCAAGCTTTAGTTTAATCCTTTATTTAAAGTGTCATTTCCTAGAAATTATTTTTGAAACATGGTAAAATTATTCTGAAGTTAGTGAATATTTTATGAAGTTTTTATCTCTTAAGAATAATATGTTTTTAATAAATTAAATATTTGGGCTTACTGTGTTAACCTGAATGGGTTCCCAAAACTATGATCATGATGATAATCCTATAATTGTTTGCATTGTATTTAATTTCCTCATTTTTTGTATGCACTGGATTTTTCTTCTGTTTGTTGTGTTCAATTTCCCTTTATCAGAACACGGCTTGATGAGCTGAGGATGTTCCTAGAGAATGAGACCTGGGAGCTTTGTCCTGTTAAGTCAAATTTCAGCATCTTGCAACTTCATGTAAGTGTTTCATAAAAAAAAAAAAAAAACTCTTAGGTATTTACTTTTTTTAAAAAAAAGAACCTGATGTATGGAAGGGTTTATAAAAAAAAATTAAGAAATAGAACCTTAAATTTCTTCCTTAAAATTAAGAATAAGCTTCTTCTTCAATAGGGAGCCTTTGATAGATGTAAAAATCTGTCTCTTTTTACAAAATTTAGTTGGCAAATTTCATGAAACTCTTTTTGCCTTGAAAGAGGCACACTTTAAATAATTTTTTTTCTTTTTAATTCAGAAGAAGATCTGCTTTTTTGAATATCTGCAGAAAATTGATGTTATATTTCGGTCATCTTTAAAAAAATTGCTTGTATTAGCAGAGTATTTGTGATTTCTTAAAGGGACTAATAAGATTTTCTTAATTTACATTGTAATTAATGAATTTTCCTGTAAAGAGAAAATGCCTTAGAAATAGGAGAGGCACTTTAAAAAGCTACTCTTAAATAAGTTTTATTAGTTCATCGATGTCTTGAAAATTTATAAAATAAGCAGTCTGTGAAAAAGTCTTTCAGTGGTTGGATTTGTTTTTCCTTTAATTGAAACACAGTGTAGATAAATAACCCCTGGGTGATAGACTATCTTCTATAAATATCAAACTTCAAATGCAATGCACGTATTTAGACCTTTGTTTAGAAGGTGTCAGTGTGCTTGGTTTTTTCCTTTAGAAGGAATGACTTTCTATAAGCATTTTCTTATGTATCTGATTTAATTTGTAGTTGAAATTTAAAAAGAAAATAAACACATTATTAAAACTTAGTAAACTATTATAACTTTTAAAAAGAATGTCATTAAATATGAGAAATTTTAAATTTTGGATCAATCTTTTTTGGTATGAGGAAAATCTTCATTAAATTTTTATAATAAATCACTAAATCAAGAGTTTTGTAATTCAGAAGCATTTTAGAGATTATTCCAGCTCTTCCATGGATTAGCTGTGAGGCTGTGGTATAGTGAATTACATGATATGGCTTTTCTAGCCATAGTCTTTGTAATTCCCACTTTGCCATGAGCAACTGAGTAGCTGCTTATTAAAGTCATCTACCTGAGGCAGCATGAAGTAAACTTCTGGGAAAGTTTGGTCTCTCTCAGGTGTATAGTACTCTGATGTTGAGATTGGTTGGTTTTGCCACTCTGCCAAGCTCAAAATGAGCCCTCCTAGAGGCAGTAGGAATCTCTCTGACTGCTGGCTGAGAGACATGAGCTACTGAGAGAGAGAGAGAGAGAGAGAGAGACACGTGGCTGAGGATGAGACATGTGGCTGAGGATGAGAGACGTGGGGCTGAGAGAGATGCCTGGCTGAAAGATGGCAGCAATGGTACCAAGAGGCATGAGACAGAGTGGCAGGCTTACCTGGCCCATAGAGGCAGAGGCCAGGCCAAGAGGCCAAGAGCCAGAGGGGTGTGTCTAAGGACACAGCAGAAGGGAGACTGTCCTGATCAAAGAACTATATCCTGAGTGTGTTCTTGAACTTGAATTATAGCCAATGCTTTCTCAAAAAGGAGTTCGGGTGGCATAGGGCCTAAGGCATTTGACTGCTAGCCAGAAGGCTGGTGGTTCAAACCCACCAGTCACTCCTTGCAAGGAAGATTGGACAGTCTACATCCATAGTGATACTGCCTCGGAAAGCCAAGGAGGGGTCATCATGAATTGAATGTGATTCAACGCCAATGAGTTTGGTTTTATGTTTTCCTAATAAACCCCATAATATGTGAGTTCTCGGTGGCCACTGCATTGAATTACTGAACCCAGCAGAGAGGTGGAGGGTGCAGTGAGAGGGATGGTTGGTGTCAAGGTTGGTAAGAGGACTAGAGGGTGGTAGCATGTCTGGCCTCATGGGAACAGGCCATGGGCAGCTGACGGGGATTCTTTCTTCCTCTAGGGTAGTTAGAGGAGGTCAGAAAATGCTGCCTCCTTGCCCCGTTAGCAGAGATCTTGACCTTGGCACTGAGTCCTTCTGACCACCTCAGTTTTCTCATCTGTGAAATCCTTAACTGAGACTAGGTACTACAACTCTTTAGCTTTAACACTTGTGATTCTCTCATTTTCGATTGACCCTCTAATTTTTAAAATGTGGAAACTGAGAAGCCAGGTTATGTTCCCAGCATTGTGTTAGGAAGTTAATGGAACATGTAACAAGTTAGTGGCATGCTAAGACTAGACCACATCATCTGGCCTCCGCATCTGTGTTTGCGTTGTCTGCTGTTTGGTATATGAAGAAAAATAAATGGAAATGTATAGACATCAGTATAACAAAGAGAGATGTATTATTCATGCTTTGTTTTTGATGTATTTGTGGAGAATATCTTAAATGATACATGTGTATAAGTAAATGAGGTGTGTGACCTAACAATTCATTTTTCTAAGTGGTTTTGCTGACTAAACCATAGGCATTATCATTCATATTTCATAAGTAATTCTCAAAAAGTCTGTTTGTGATTCTACAAAATATACCAAAAGTTGCTTGGTAAAGATGGCAGTGTTATAAGAAATGTCATCAACTAAGTTATCTCTAGGCAAACTTTTAGACCTGTATTTCTAAGTTTGTACTTTCAGACAACTTGAAAGATTTAGAAATGAATAACCTGAAAGAAGGGTTGATTCCCCCTCCCCCCACACACACTAAACCTACAGTTACATTAGTGGAATATGTTTTATGTACTTTACCGCTTATATACTTTACTGTTGTTGCTAAAAGATATCTGGCTTCTTTGTTAATGTCTAGGAATTTAAATTCTTGGAACAGTCTCGTTCCCCATCAGTCTCACCCAATAAGCAGCCTGCCTCAACATCCTCAAAAACAGTGACCCTATTTGAACAGTACTGTAGTGGTGGGAATCCATTTGAAATTCAAGCCAATCACAAAGACGAAGAAACAGAAGATGTCCTGGCTTCTAATGGGGTATGTTGTGTTTGTAAAACATACTGAAAAACATAAGGTAGACATCTTTATTTAAAAAGCATTCTCCCCAGTGAGTAAGGCAGTTTACCTTATTTATCTACCCACCACTCACCTTCCTTCCTTCCTGCTTACCTACCTACCATACTACTTGTTTAGATAATGACATTATATACTTTGTTGACTTTATCCTATTAAATGATAGATTTTACCTTTATGTTTACTGGATTAAACTATTAATCGAGTAGTAGTATAGTTTCTTCACTGACTGTTTATATGATTTTCGGAAAGACAGATGGATGAGGGAATAGGTAATCTGTATTTTTTCACCTCTGCTATTGGATAAGTAAGTCATTTTATTCTGTGGCCCTTTCTCTGAGAGAGGGTATGTGTCTTGTTTAGTTGCCTGACAAGAATGTTTTTAAGATTTAGAAATACAATATTTTAACAACACTTTGAGTATATCAAGAAACAGTGTAAACCAGAGGGTAGTGTGAGGTAGTAGATTTGAAATCAGAGAAATGATTTATTACCTTTGTTATTTATTAGTTGTGTGCCCATTTAAAAGTTATTTAAACTTTGAGGTCCTCTGTTTTCTCATATTTACAGTGGAGATAATGCTTACTTTACAAGTTGCCTACAGGGTATTTTCACAATGTTTTGTTGGCCTCGTATGTTATATGATGATTCCTTCCGATGATGATGTTCCTTTGATGTTCATGGAGTTCACCTGGCCTCTCCCATACTTGCATTTGACCATGATGCTGTAGAGGTGATGACAGTGCTAGGGAAGCATCCTTCTTCTCAGGAGTAAACCTGAAATTTTTGTCTTTGCTCTTAGTAGAGCCCTGTATGCTAAGCCTAAGTTTCTAAGCTAGATTTGGAATTAAATCTTACCATAATGAATCAGGTGGAACAGCCAGCATGTGTGTGGTGTTGTATGTGTTTATTAGGATGAAATAACACTTCAGAGTGCTGGAATTGTATACTCAGCCTCTTTATAATGAATTAGAACATCATTAATAAGTGTGATGGACCCACCAGGAGGCCTAAGGGGGACTTTTATATGCATGTATGTATTAAATATGTATTTTGTTCTTTTAGGTCCTGGTGGGTTTTCTTTATTTGTTTTTTGTATATGGAGATTTGGTTTTGGTGGTCATTTACAAGCTTTTATGGGTATAATAATTTGTATTTTATTTTCCTTTCCTTTAATTTGAAGTGGTTAAGAAAGAGTGATGGAGAAGAAAATAGGATGATCATATGCCTGATGGCAAAATTAAAGCTAAACCATTAAGACATTTCTTCTATTTAGCTATGTTTATCAAACTGAGATTTTTATTGTGTTGACAAATTCCAATAAAGGATGACTATTCATAGTCATTTTTGAATGTCCTGTGTTCTTTTCAGTATGAATCTGATGAGCAAGAAAAAAGTGCCTATCAGGAGTATGATAGTGACAGTGATGTCCCTGAGGAACTAAAACGAGATTATGTTGATGAGCAGACAGGTGATGCTCCTATGAAAAGGTAATTACTTGTAGATTGTATGAGACTTAACATTTTACGTTGTGCATTTAAATCATAGGATTTCCTTTGAAGACTAAGAAAAATTGAAAATTGTTTTTTCTAGTGGTTATAATATCATGTGTCATGTTGATGTGGCTAAAAAAATGATTCCCAAAAGGCTAAAATTGTAATTATTTTCTCTTACCTTCAGTGAAAGTGACTTTCAAGCAAGGCTTTGAATTGATTTGAACTGGTTCAGTCATGGCTGATGAAGTGAAGTCAGAACAGATCTGAATTTTTAAAATTTAGATGAAAAGGAACAATAACCAGAACAGGAAAATTTATGGATCAAAGCCCTGGAATGGGAGACTTGACAGAGGCATAGTGAGCCCTTTCAGGACCCTGATGCAGAAGACTGGATTATTGCCTCAACTGTGGAAAATGTCACACATTCAAAGCAGCTGCCATCTTTGAGCATGTCACTTTTGTTTCTGACTCTGCTGTTCAAGAGATTTGTTTTTATACAATGTGCATGCTGCCCTTATCTTCTAAGAGGGAGAATAAGTTTCTAGCAGGGTGTTGGTTTGTAATTTTTCTTGTTCTAGTTAGATTCTGGTTCACCCACTTCATCAGCCATAACCGAACCAGGAAAAACTGGTTTAAAACCCTACTTTCCAGGGAAAATGAAATAATTGTAGGAGAAGTTCTACTTAGCAAAAGCTTTACTGGCCCTTCACAAAGTAGTTGATTTTACTATGAGTTTAGATTGTTACTGTGTTTAGTGATATAGTACCTCTTCATAATATTGAGGGGAAAAAACCCACAAATTTTGGTTTAGCCATTTAAAATTTTGTCAGTCTCTTTTTGAATTTATATAGCTCATTTAACCTTGTTCGTACAGCAACAGTCTAATTTTTCTTTTTACAGTTTCACAAAGAAGTAATCATGTTTTCAGAACTTGTAAAATACAAAATAGTGAGCATAATTAGACATCAACACATTTAGTAAAAATACACAGTTTGGATTTATAAAATCAGTACTGGTTTGGAAGATCAGAAAACCTTAGGGAAGAAAGTGGTCCTTTGTTTTTGATGTGGAGTTCTTGCCTCAATCTAATATAAATGCAGGAATTCTTCGCTTACTTCCCAGTGTCATTAATCATCACTGTTTTAGCCTTCCTTTGAGGTTCTTTATTAGTGGTTGAGTTTTATTTTATGACAGCCTACTCTGTTAAAAACTGTGTTAAAATTGTAATTTTCTGTCACTTTCTCCCAGTTAAATGGGCCTGATTCTGATGTGTTGGAGTGAATTTATCTCATGACACCAAACATTCAGTGACCACAAATACATGTTTTAAAAAAAGGATAGATTTAAATATACCTGTCTCTCCTTTTTTTCCCCAGGGTACCTAGTTAATACTTGATTAACGTAATACCTTGACTGGATTAATTTTCTCCTCAAGGTGGTAGATATTGTCATTGGGCAATTTTTTTTCTATTAGTTTTTACATATATATTTAAATATATCCATGTATGATCCATTATGAACAGGATTGAACTCTTTTGTTGAACTTCTTCATTAGATATATTTTTGGTATATTTTGGCTAAAACAGAAGTTCTGATTCAATTGAAGTGAACTAAATAGGGTCTGCTAATATGTATACACATACATCTAGATTTAATAAGGTTAATGCAGCCGCTTAAACTGTCTAATCTATCCCTAATAAGTCTGAAGAAAGATAGCTCTAGTGGTGCAGTGGTTAAAGCATTTAGCTGCTAACCAAAAAGTTGGCAATTTGAGCCTACCAATAGCTCCATGGGAGAAAAAGTGGCAGTCTGCTTCTGTAAAGATTTGCAGCCTTGGAAACCGTATGGGGCAGTTCTACGTGTCGTGTGGGGGTCTTTCTGAGTCGGAATTGATGCAGTGACAGTGAGTTTGATGTTTGGTAAGTTTGAAGAATGCGAACTACTAACTAGAGCAAGTTAATTAATAAACAACAACAAACATACCTACTGCCATTGGATCAATTCCAATTCATAGTGACCCCTATAGGGTTTCCAAGGCTGTAAATCTTTACAGAAGTAGATTGCCTCCTCTTCTTCCTGCAGAGCAGCTGGTGGGTTTGAGCCACTGCCTTTCTGGTAAATGCCTTACCCATTGTGCCACCAACTTCTAAGTGTCTCTTGAATTTATCAACTTTTCTCGTATTTCACTGCTGCCATCTTAGTTCATGCCAACATGATCTCTGTGCCATATTCTTGAATCAAGCCTCTTAACGTGGCTTCCTGACTCCAGTCTTTCCCCTTTCAACCAATTTGTAGGTACTTTACAATTTTTTTTTTCTAAGGTAGAAATGTAATCATGACATTTTCCTGGTTTTTAATGGCTCACCACTGCCCCTTCAAAGTAAGGTTCATGCTCCTTAGGTTTGATTGCATCTAGTGATCTGGCCTTTACTTCCCTCCTTTCTCATCATTTCTCCCGTTGCCCACTTACTCTATACATGGTAGCCATAGTGACCTCCTTGTACTTATCTAAGTACACTCTATTATCTCTTACCTCTGACCTTAGTGCATACTGTCCCTTCTACTTAGAATCTTTTTTCTTCACTTACCATATAACTTTTATTTTTCCTTTGAATCCATTGCTGTCACTCTTCCCCCAGACTTTGACAACATATTCATGCTTAATTAATTCAGATTCTAAGGAATTTTCATGTTTTTAAGTTTCTGAAATCAAGGTGCTTGATACATTTGATGTATAATTTCACTGGGAAATCTCTGATTTAAAGTGTTGTAGCTTCATGTCGTGGTGCTATAGTATATTAAAAGTTGTGTGGCTTAGAATGTGTTAAAGTCAAGAGAATGTAGACCTTTACTTCTTTGTTTGCTGCCTCCTCTCCTCTGGACTGTAAGTGCTGGAGGGACAGGAGGAAACCTCTTCCCTCTGCATGATGATACATAAGAAGATTTTCAGTAAATAATTGGGAGTGAAGGATAGCTCCTTGGCCTAATAATTTGTTGGTTTACTTGACATCTCTAATTGCAGCTCTTTTGTTTTTCCAAATTAAGTGTTTCTCGAGAAACCTTAAAAAGCAGGAAGAAATCAGATTACAGCCTAAATAAAGTGAATGCACCCATCTTAACAAATACTACATTGAATGTAATAAGGCTTGTTGGTGAGTAAATACCTTTTTTAAAAAATAAGTTATAGCAGTTAAATTTCATCTACTTTTGTTATTGAGTGATTTTTGCTTGGGATTTTTATTGTAAACTCCAGTGCCCACTGCAGGTGAAGGATTTAAGATTGTTGTATGTCAATACTTTTTTATCTTATTTATGTGTTGCAAATATTATAATTATTACCAATATTACTGTCAATTCAGTTTTTTTGGTTACCTGCATATTAAGTCTTTTCATTTTCCAATTTTTTTTTCTAAAATATTCCAACTAAATGAAATATAATAACTTTCTGTATGAGTCAGAATTGCATGTAAGATAACAATAGTACCCGTTTTACATTTACACAATATTTTTGTAGTTAATTGTTTCATTGATCTTAACAATCTTCCTGTCAAGTAGGCAGAGCAAATAGTGATTCTTTAGCATTTTCAGACATAAGAGTTTTAGAAGCTAAATGTTCACATCATGGGAAGTGTTGTTCTTATTATAGGTAAGACTTTTATTGGCAAACAACATGAAAAAATACCACTTTACATTTTCAGGTTTGAGGATAATGTGAATTTCTATGTCAGTATTTTCACATCTTATATGCTTAGCCTTTATATCTCACAAATAGGTTTGCACATTTGACAAATAAGTTATAGAGATATCTTCTCAACTTAATTAAGTCATCTATACCAATCAGGAATTTAGTGGTTTTCTGTACAAGTCATTATATTCTGTTTATGAAGTGATATTTACCAGTTGCCTAGATTGATTACTTGTAGCTATGAGTAAATGGTCTGTTTTTTAAGATAATTTTAGAATTTTATTAATGAATACATAGCATATACAAAAATATTTTTTAGGAGTCTCTCTTTAGGGAAAATAATGAAAAGGTAATAGTGAATTGAGAGGAAAAGAAAAGCTACACATTTTCATGACACTTAAAAAAATGAAGATATATTCTAAAAAGCTCTTATATAGCTGATTATTGAGAGAGTTAACTGAACTTAGTATTGTGAATTATTCTAGAATTTATAGAATCAAAATTGGAAAGCTGTTGAGAGGTCATTTGGTATAAAACCCATTGCCATCTAGTAAATTCTTCACAGAAGTCTTTATGGAAGCAGACGGCCACATCTTTTCCCATGGAGCAGCTATATGTTTGAACCACCAATCTTTCAGTTAGTAGGTGAAGGCTTTAACTACTGTACCACAGGACTTTCTTTCATTTGGTATAAGTTTTCACAAAATAAGGAGTTGTCTCTGTAATGCTTGTAATCCGTGGTGGCCGTGACTTCATGACTTCATGACCCATAGTCGCCGGAAACTGATTATTCTACAAGGCTACTCATTCTACTAGTAAACTGATCTAATTAGTAGAATTATCTTTTTTCTGAATTCTCTCTATATAATTCTGTTGGTCTTAGTTATACTCTTAAAGCAAAGAGTAAAAGTCTGTAAGTTTTTCCTCTATTCTTTCATATGGTCTATTTTTTAATATATGGTGGTAATTACCATGTCCTTCCCTTCCATCTCCCTAATCCATTTTTAGGCTAAATGTGCTCAGTTTCCTTATCTGATCCTCACTGATAGAAATACTAGACTTTTCAAAATCCTTGTTTTCCTCCTCAGCCTTCTGAACTTGCTGTAGTTTTCAGTGTCCTAAAACACACTGTTGTTGTTGTTGTTATGTGCCCTCACGTCGACCCCAACTCATAGCGACCCCTCCTTGGGTTTCCAAGGAGGTATCATTACAGAAGTACGATTGCCAACCTTCCTTTGTAGATAGAGTCTAAAGACAGCCTGTTTATGTTAATGAAACAATCAGCCCCAACAATCAGTGGCTTTCAACAACAAAGGTTTATCTTTCACTTGTGATACATATTAGCTCCTGACCATGGTAGCTCTGCTCCACATATCTCTTTATTCTGGAATGTAATTTTCGGCACCATTCTGAAACATGGGGGGAAAAGCAAGAGCCGAACCTTGTTAGAACTCTGACAGATCCTGCTCTGATGTGACACTCTTGAATTCCTCTGTTGTGTCACTACCATAGCAAGGCTGGTGTGATGGTGGGAGAGGGAGTATGTTCTTCCCCAGGAGGCACTGCAAATGATAGGGCAATGGGCAGGGAGTGAAGAAGAGGAGAATTGAGAAAAATGATATGCTCTACTTCATTTAAGTGATTGTTTTTATTTTTTACTTTACCCAGATCAAAAAGAATTAGAAGGGGCAATGTGTTTTACTTTAAAGGACATATATTCAGTAGAATCAAATCAAATCAAATCAAATATAAGTTTAAAACAAAATTAAGGGTGGAAAATGGTCTTTCAGTCAGTTAACTGTAAGCATTAAATGTGACTGATCTTTTTGGTAGGAATGAGGAAATGAAAAAATAAATTCTGTTATTCTCATTATCTAACAAAAGGATACTTGCCCTTATGATAGTAGTGTGCTCCTGGTGTTAAATTCAGAAGGCAGTACCAACAGGTTCCTATATAAAAATTGCTTATCTACATGGTGGACATTGTTTTCTTATCATGGATTTGTAGAGATTGAGAGACAGTAGGTATCCTATGAGTCTGAGCCAACTCGACAGCATCTAACAAGAAGTCATTTTATATGTTTAGAATGCATTTTCATTTATTTATCTGTGAATTATCTATTCATATCCATTGCTCATTTTTTAAATAATAAATTATGTTTTAATTTGTATATTAAAGACATTAGTCCTTTTTCCACAATATGCTTTGTGTAGATTCATTCCCAATCGAACAGATTATTTATTTATTTATTTTTAGTTGCTACCTGTCCCAGGTACTCTTCTGGGGACATTATGGAGCCCAGCATGGGAAATAGCATACCAAAGGAAGAAATTACATTGTGATGTCAGCATAAACAGGCAGAAAAGAGGCAGAGAGAAAGAATGATTCACTTTCTTATTTTGGATAGCAAGGGAAAGCTGACTTAGTGGAGGTGCTGACATCCTGGCCTACTTTGAAAGATGAATAGGTTCTCTTAGATGAAAAAATTGGGAGAGGAATTCTAGACAGAGTGAATAACATGTGCAAGACATGGTATATTCAGAGAATACAGCAGTTTAGTTTGTAGGCATGTGTAAAGCATGATGGGGATGGGAGGTGGGAGCAGAGGAGATATGGCAAGAAAGGAGGCAAGAACTGAATTTCGAAGGGCCTATGTAATGTTCTGTGGAGCTGGGACTTGAGCCCTGTATTGTCCTAATTAAAGTGTAAAACGATGTGTGTTTAACAGGAAAATTCTTGACTGTTTAACAGGCAATTCAAATGGTAGTTTTTTTGTTTCATATTTATAAATGCAAGTACTCATACCAATTGTTTTCAAAATATCCTTATTTCAGATTTTAGGATCAAGTTACACAGTTCAATGAAATCATAGGAGTTAAGTACTATAGGGGAGAGAGATGAGCAGATTTCCATTTTGTCTAAGATTAGCTGGCCACAGTGTGGAAGTGAGAAAGTGAGGGAGGTCATAGTGTAGGTAGGAGGCTGTTGAAGTGTCCCATGTAAGAAATGATGAGAACTGGAGCTTGCATAAAACGATGGCCTTTGGATTGGAAAGGAGAAAACAGATTTGAGAAATTTTAGAAATACAGTAGACAGGATTGGTGATTTATTATGAGGGATCACTCTTAAATTCAGATTTGTGTGACTGACAGGTTAAAATGCCACAGCTCATTGAAAAGGTGAGAACTCCTCTACTGAAAGTTCTTTTCAACTCTATTGAACAGATGGGAAGCAGACCAAGTTTGGGAAGCTGATGATAGGTTTGATTTTAGACATACTGAGGTGCTTATGAGACATTTAGTAGCCCTGGTGACATAGTGGTTAAGCACTTTGCTGCAGATGAAAAGGTTGGTTATTTGAAACCATCAGCCAGTCTGCAGGAGAAAGATGTGGCAGTCTGCTTGTGTAAAGATCACAGACTTTACTCTGTTTTACTCTGTCCTGTAGGGTCGCTCTGAGGTGGAATCAACTCAGTGACAGTGGGTTTGGTTTTTGGTTTATGAGACATTTAAATAGAAATAACCTGTAAGTGATTGGATATAGAGATTTGGAACTAAGGAGAAATATACATGGTTGGGATATTTGGAGTCGTTGGTATATAATAGTAGCTAAAATCATGATGATGGATGAGCTTATTTTGGCAGAGGCTCTTAACCTTTGGGTTCATAGACACCTTTGAGAATCGGATAGACACTTTGTCAACCTCCCACCCCCACAGTTAACACAAGCATATAAACATGAGATGGCTGAGCAGAGAATATAGCAGTGGATGGGGATATATTGGAGGAGCGGACCAGAAGAGGAAACCAGTGAAGGAAGTCATGAAAGACTGGTAGAGTCAGGAGAGAAATTAGGAAGTAAGGAGGGGGTCCTAAGAACCAGGAGATGAGAGTTTTAGATGGAAGTAGGGCCACGCTTTATTGGTCTTTCTTGATAGTGAAAATACAAGTGGTTAAAATACTGACATACTGTGCCCCATCCAAAGCGTCTGATTCAGTAGGTCTGAGTGCAGCCTGAGCCTGTGCATCTTTAGCAAGTTTGCAGACAGTGTTGATGCTGCTGGTCCGGGTGTCAGAACCATTGGCTCCTTTCTGTATTGTCCTAATTAAAGTGTAAAACGATGTGTGTTTAACAGGAAAATTCTTGACTGTTTAACAGGCAATTCAAATGGTAGTTTTTTTGTTTC